CAGTAAAAAATCTAGTTAACTAAAAGGAATATTTAACATGAAAAATTATTCAAAAGTCTATTTTACTTTTTTGAAACGAGTTTTTGAATATTAGAAAAAATCAAACTTTTCAGGAATGCTTTTGGTAACGAGAGTTCTGGCCATAAATCGAAAATGGCCTGAGAGAAATGGAAGACACGTTCTCAAGTTTGGGTTCGCACCACCCTGTACGTTGGATTGAGTTTCTTAATTGATATCAGTGATAATTTTAATGAATTTTTAAGCGTTATTTTTTTAGAAGCATCTTTTTATACGCTTATATTTTTTTGTGATAAATATAACTTTTTTCATGCACAGGCACATTTTTATAAATTTCAGTTTTGTATTTTCAAAATAACACACTGTACTCAATTTATTTAATCACCTTTTATATAATTTTATAGTTTATATTCTTTAGCATTTTCTCTTTCATACAAAATGTCGTGTAGAAACAGCGACGTAATTATGATTTGTTTCGAATTTCCTCTGTCTCAAAAATTTATGTAACATTTTTCATGTTATATATTATGAGGCCAATGTTCCATAATTCTATGCATGTAAATAAAAGTCTCCGAAGTGTTAAAAGATTGAACAAAAAAGAAAATATCGGTCCTTGTGAAATTCAAATTCATCAAAAACTGCTTGGCAATGCACTTTCTTTTGGGGCCATGTAAGGTAAAGTGGAAATGTACTGTCTCTTTGTTACTCTGATCTTCCTCTCCGTATTAAGTAACCAAAGTAAGCATGCTAAGCCTATAGTTATGATAAACAATGAGGCCTTTATAAATGGTGTAAAACATTGATTGTGAAGTAAAAATAAAGGGATAAAAAGATTCTCTCATGATTTATAATTGGATATGATTTTTATCCAACTCCTTGTTTGTTTGAATCCCCTCGCCAAGGATCAGGGATAAAAACACAGAACTTGTTGGATAAAAATCAAATACAAATCATGGTAGATCCTATACACCTTTTCATGCAATAGAGTAACTAAATTGTTTTTCCTCTTCTATAGGCCCTCGGGGCAGGGATGTGTAATGAGAATGAGCTGATGGAGGCCCCTGAAGAAGAAGACATAGATCTGATGAACGATGAGACGTTTGGAGGAGATATTGATGGTTTGTCGTGATTCTTTGTAATATGTTGAATGTCGTTTTGTTAACCAGTGTATAATAGTAGTTTACGTTATACATTTTTAGGTCACCTGAGTAACTCAGGTGACCTATTGCTATCCGTTTTCGTCCGTCGTCGTGCGTCGTGCGTCGTGTGTCGTGTGTCGTGTGTTAACATTTGAACATTTTCAGCTTCTTCTCTGGAACCACTGAACCAATTTCAACCAAATTTGGTATACAGCATCTATGGGTGGAGGGGAACAAAAATTGTGAATTTCATGGTCCCCACCCCCCTGGGGCCTGAGGGGTGGGGCCAAAACCACTAAAATTATTGCAATCTTTAAAAATCTTCTTCTTTACTCCTGGACATCAAGCAGGCAAACTGTTGGCATGAATGTAATGAGCATTGAGTCCTCTACCAAAATTGTGAAATTCATGGCCCCAGGGTCAGGGGTTCTAGTGCTAGGGCGGGGCTCAATAGATTATATAGTGAATATGCATTATTTCTTTGAAAATCTTCTTCTCTGCTCCTGGGTATTAAATAAACTAACTAAGCACATAGTTATGATGAGCAAGAGTGCCTCTTCCAGATTTGTGAATTTTATGGCCCCAGGGTTAGGGGTTCTGGTGTTAGGGCGGGTCTCTATAGATTATATAGTGAAAATGCATTATTTCTTTGAAAATCTTCTTCTCTGCTCCTGGATATTAAATAAATTAACTAAGCAAATAGTTATGATGAGCAAGAGTGCCTCTTCCAGATTTGTGAATTTTATGGCCCCAGGGTCAGGGTTTCTGGTGTTATGACGGGGCTCTATTGATTATATAGTGAAAATGCATTTATTCTTTGAAAATCTTCTTCTCTGCTTCTGGGTATTAAATAAACTAACTAAGCACATAGTTATGATGAGCAAGAGTGCCTCTTCCAGATTTGTGAATTATGGCCCCAGGGTCAGGGTTTCTGGTGTTGGCGGGGCTCTATTGATTATATAGTGAAAATGCATTTATTCTTTGAAAATCTTCTTCTCTGCTTCTGGGTATTAAATAAACTAACTAAGCACATAGTTATGATGAGCAACAGTGCCTCTTCCAAAATTGTGAATTTTATTGCCCCAGGGTTAGGTGTTCTGGTGTTAGGGCGGGGCTCTATTGATTATATAGTAAAAATACATTAATTCTTTGAAAATATTTTCCTTTGCTTCTGGGTTTTGTGCCAATGATCCAAGTATACATACATTTATGATGAAGAATGGGGCATCTAGCAAAGTGTTTTTTTATGCCCCCAGAGTCAGAGAGGGGGGGGGGTTACATAGTCTGAAAATAAATTAATGCTTTGAAATCTGCTCTTTGGTATTAATCAACCATTTTATGACAGCATTTTCAAAATTTTGAAATACCGGTATGTGGCCCATGGATCAGTGGTTCCTTTAGGGTGAGGTACACAACTGGGTATAAAATGGAAGTGCATTTTCTTTTTGTTACTCTGATCTACCTCTGGGTATTAAGTAAATAGAGTAAGCTAAGTTAATAATTATGATAAGCAATGGTGCCTCTTTCAAAATTGTAGATTGTGAATTGAATTTCATGGCCTCTGGTTTAAAACACAAACCAAATTTAATTGTTTGAAAGTTGTTACACAATACTCAGGTGACCTATAAGGCCCGTGGGCCTCTTGTTCAATATTACAGAAGATTTTGACTGGGAGGAGGAGCATGAGAAACTGTCAGAGGTGATCGAGGTCGGGGACAAAATTCTCTACGGACGACCAGCACGGGATTCTGGGTACAAGACCTACGCCAGTCAGGAGGTAAATCATCAATGTCACGGAACTTAGTGCAGAGTTGGTCCTAAGACCAGGCCCCGGGATCATGAAGCATCTTAAGCTTAAGTCAAAAAATGCCTTAGATGCTGAATTTTTTTAGAGGTCAAGCAGCCCAAAATGAAAATGCCTTCCGATTTTGCATCATCAGTCTGCTGTTGTATGCAAATTATGAGTTTCCTTTAACAAGTTTTAAAGATTTTATAGATAATTGAAATTTTGACCAAGTCTAAGTCTGTTTCATGATCCCGGGACCAGGGATCAGGAGAATTTTACCATCTTGGTATCCATAAGGACATAATCTCCAGTTGTTTTGTGTGGGGAAAGAACCCCAGATCCCCATCCACTTATGTAATGTTTATACTGTTACCTTCTATTTCAATTGTTAGGGACATCCTTGTAAGGTATTTTAAAGAAAGATCATTTGACATGTTTTAAGTGTTTCACAGTTTGTAAAGTATGTTAAGAAGGTCTATTCCAATGGAAATTGCACAAAACTCTTAAGATTAAAAAAAATGAAACACTTTAATATCCAATATGGTCTGTGAATTAAGTCTTAGCATGCAATTTCTAGACATTTGCTTCCAATTTTTTTAGGCCCTAGGCATCTGAACCTTGGTAATTGTCAAACAATAATCTTACATTTTCTTAATATAAAAGGTGAAAATGGCACCTTGATCTACATTCATGGATTGTACCTCTGTACTTTTTTCTATTTTTTATAAACAGGAATACATGGAGCAGAGCATCAGTCAGCTGGTGGTAGAAGATGAGGAGATAGATGACCCAGCGATTGTCAACGTCAGCAAAAACAGACCTATACCCAAGGTAACAGAGACCTATTGTCCTGATTACTGAGTTCTTTTGCATTCTCAGGGTTGTCCATAAAACCAGGGGACCAGGGAATTTCCGGCCTATAGTTGTGTAATTTAATGGTCATTGTCGTCGTCGTTGTAAACTTTTCACATTTTCATCCTCTTCTCAAAAACCACTTGGCCAGTTTCAACTAAACTTGCTACAAAGTATCCTAGGGTAAAGGGATTTAAGTTTTATTCAAATGAAGGGTCACACCCTTTTCCAAGGGGAGATAATTATGAATAAAAGAAGAATTTATGGTATTTAAAAAAAATCTTCTTCTCAAGAACCACTGGGCCAGGAAAGATGAAACTCATGTGGAAGCATTGTCAAGTAGTGTAGATTTTAGTTTGTCCAAATCATGACCCCCGGGGGTAGGGTGGGGCCACAATGGTCGATCAAAGTTCTACATAGGAATGTATAGGAAAAATCATTAAAAATCTTATACTCAAGAACCACAGGGCTAGGAAAGATGAAACTCATGTTGAATCATCCTCAGGTAGTGTAGATTCAAATTTGTTCAATTCTCGGGGGCTAGGGTGGGGCCATAATGTCCGATCAAATTTTTTCTTAGGAATATATAGTGAAAATCTTTAAAAATCTTCTTCTCAAGAACCATTGAGACAGGAAAGCTGAAACTAGTCATGTGAAATTATTTTCAGGTAGTGTAGATTCAAGTTTGTTCAAATCAAGACCCCCAGGACTAGGGTGGGGCCAAAATGGCCGACCAAAGTTTTACATAGGAATATATAGGAAAAATCTTCTCAAGAACCATTGAGACAGGAAAGCTGAAACTTATGTGAAATTATTCTCAGGTAGTGAAGATTCAAGTTTGTTCAAATCATGACCGCCAGGGCTAGATTGGGACCAAATTGGCCGACGAAAGTTTTACATAGGAATACTCGGAATATATAGAGAATTCTTTTAAAATCTTCCTTTCAAGTACTTCAAACTCATGATTAGTGATATTTATATGTAACCATCCTCAGGTAGTGTAGATTCTAGTCTGTTCAAATCAAGATCTGTTGGGGGTTTAAATTCAAGCCCCCAACCCCACCCCTAAACTTTGAGTTCTGATCTATTATTTGCTTTTCCTAGCCAATGTGCCCGGGTGAGTGCTGTGGCCCCTGGAAAACTGAAAATTTTGATATATATAGATATATTACAACAGAAATTTATTTTTCAGAAATGTCAGAATCTGGACGATTTGTTTGGACCAGCTTCACCCCCCGCTCTCCTGGATGCAGAACACTTGGTCAGTAAATACTCCAGAGTATCCCATTGTACATGTTCCAAACTAATATAGCTATGAATTTTCAGATCACCCCTATAAGTCTAGGATAGCTTGTAAACGTTATTCCCTTGCTATTGTTTTATGATTGACAATGATGTGACTAAAAGTCCTACCCAGACAGAATACAGAGATACAGTTGAACTTCAGTAGCTCAAACTCAGATATCTTGAATACCATGGGTATGTCCAAGTGATTTGGAAGTTTTTTCTCAGTTCCATCAGGTTTGAGGTAAAGAAGTTTGACTGTATGTTAATTACCAGAATATATTCAAAGTTTGCCTTTTAATAGATAACAATCATCAAGTTGATCTTTGTAATCTATGACAAACTATGTTTTTTCTGAAGAAATTACGGGGTTTGTAAGGTATTCTGTTTGTTTTTTTGCCAGGTATCTCCCTCCAGTAGGAATATCTGGGGTTCCCCGGTGAAGGAGACACATATGCCCCCCACAGTGAACAATCTTCAGACTCTATTTGAGTTTGCCAAAGCAGCTTCAAGTTCAACACACACAAAGGTTTGATAAAAACATATAATAACTAGGATGGTCCAAAGTAGAAAATATTTGTTTTACTTTTCAGTGTGAAACTTACCTTCCACAAAGTCATTAAATTGATATGTAAAATTATTCATAGCTTGAATACAGGGATATGATGAATATAATTATCTCATACACTCACTTGTCTGGGACAAAATCTTAAATTGACACAGACACTTGAATTTATGTGTTTAATATATATGAAATATAGAGGAAAGAAAAATAGAATTGTAGGGATGTGCGATTTTATCGGTATACCAGTATATCATGATTTTTTGAGTGATAAATATTGTGATACGGAGACCTAAATACCGGTCTTTAGGTACATATTATAAAGTCCAGAAATTATTCATTTATTTGTTCAATGTTCAATCTTTCAAATAACAATTACAGAAAGTATAGAAAATCTTGTAACAAGTGAAAAGAACAGCATCTTACCGTCCAAACATAATCGATTTTATATACATAAAAATTTTAAGAAAGTAGAACTTTGTATTTCCAGCATATTTTTTGGAAAAAATAATGACTTTTCATATTAAATCATTGTAAAAACTGCTTTTAAAGATATCATGATATTATCGTGATATTATGGGAAAAATATGTGATATATATGGCGATACAAAACTTTTGGCGATACCCATCCCTTTAGAATTGTATGATAACTGCCTTTATCTTAGATAACTGCTATAGACATACATCATGTATATGACATTTATTGTACACAGGCCAGACAGGTATTTGTCCACTATTCATACACTGCTGATATCAGATAATAACTTGTTTGAAATAATATCCTTTTTAGGCTGAAGCGCCTATTACAATTGTCTTGATTTGATGACCTTTCTGACCTCTCTACGTCATGTCAATATTTTGCCCCCATTCATGGTACTCCAAACAGATGAATCTCGAACTAAGGGCACATAACCGGCACTATTTCTCCTTAGTTTACAACCCCAATATCTACCATTGTTATCTTGTTTAATCAAAATTGAAGTGTATGCTAAGACTTGTCTGAACTACAACATTATTTACTATGATTGATGGATAACAGTCTAGATCGGATTCCACTGTTTACGTTTCACGCATGGAGAGACTTTGTTTACCAACTGAGTTGTCGTTTGTTCTTAAACAGCTGGGGTTCAATATCACGGGGTCCTGATGCAATCTAGAGAAATAATACGAGGGACAAAATAGTTCATGCTGATGTTTATTTTGTAAGAACTAATTTACGAATAAATGTCTAATGGAACTACCTTTTACTTTTAATCTTTTTAATCAAGAAAAAAGTGGTAATTATTTATAAGTTATTAGTCTTTAATTTAAATACAAACCTTTTTACCATTTTTGCGTAGTAATTTAAACATGATAAGATTGCGTCCATTGATGAAAACAGCCTTTGAAAATCGAATTTGTCAACAAACCCACGTGGAATGAAACAAAAGAGCTAATTGGAAGTGATAAGCCTTTTCTTCGACATACACAAGGTAACAAACGTTGTTAGATTAGTTTATCTGTTATATTGTTTAACCTTGAAATATGTTTCCCACTCAGCAGGCATGCTCATCGTAACTTGATAGGTGACATTGTCTTGATCGCACTTATTATTTCTTGTTTGGCCAGAAGGACTAATTATTTGAGGAATTATTGTTTGAATATATACATATATAATATATTTGCATATATTATAGACTACTCTTTTAAGCAATCGTTGATCATTGACATTGTGATTCTGAAATAATATCGACATCGAATCGAATACTAGTAGTTTAAAGGACGATCTGTTTAAAATGACCAATATTGTTTACTTAGGTTACAGGTAAACTTCGGTATCTCGACATCGGATATGTCGACAACCTAGGATATGTCGACGTCCCTTCGCAGTCCCGGCATTATTTACTATATATATGATTTGCAAAAACTCTGATATGTCGACCTCGGTAATGTCGACTACCCCGCTTATCTCGACGTATTTCACAGTCCCAAGAGCAAAATTTACCTGGTATATGACGACATCGGGGCAATTTTCTGCTCTACTTAACTTAATTGTTTGTCAGATGGTTGCTCACCACGCACGGACGACTCCGTGTATCTCGACGTCGTCAGAAATTCACATCTTTCACACCCATGTTTTGACTACATACTGCTCTGTGTGTTTGTAGAGGAATCCCAAGCCCCCTCGGCGTCTTTAATACATTAATTATTTAATGTCCAGCTTGGGTAATTTCATTGCTAAATCTTCTCTATTCTGCATAAATGCAGGGACCTATACACTATAGTATATAGGTCCCATGTAAATGTAAAACCGTCAATTCATTTATGTCGAAATCTGACAAAACTTTAAACATGCTATAAAAGAACAAGTTACTAAATTATAATGAACAAAAAACACATTGAATTTAAATTAAATTAGAAATTGTGGTAAAAATGCACTCAACAGGAATCAGCAGGAATTGAACAAATCTACGACATGCACGACTATTGCATCAGCCTATATGGATGCATAAAGCTTGTTATTTGCGCAATTCGAATTAAATTTGGTTTCAAAATGAAAGAAAATGAATGATGAATGATTATGAAATTAAAAAAAAAGGGAAATGAAATAATTTTAAAATATATAAGCGTTGATTTTTTCCGTATCTCGGAAGTCGACATTGTACCGTTCCGGTTTCGAGTTTACAGAGCGGATTTTGTATCCTGTTCTGACAGAGCTAGTGGCACGCGGATCGAATCCTGGATGAAAAACAATTTTTAAAAATTGAATTTTCGAGAGAAAAAAACAGTTTGTAAATAATATTTGTGAATAACTTTCAGATTTTCTAATAAATATAGAGGGATGGCTGAAATAAACGAGCTACAGTCTAATTGAAGACATGTAGGTACCTGTAGTTACACGTACGTACAGTTTAGGTTAACTTGTGGTTTTACAGTTAAATAAACGACGTCGAGTCTCAACTCTGATATCTCGACACCTCGGATATCTCGACATTTTCCGACTGTCCCGTCGATGTCGAGATAACGAAGTTTACCTGTATTTCATTTTCCTTTTAATCTCATGGCTAGGGTCTTGTTGAAATTGTGTTCACATAATTAATAAATAACAATTATCTGTTGAAATCTATTACAGTATTTGTTCAACCGAATCGTGAAAATCTGTCAACAAACCCACGTGAAGTACATGTACAACAAAGAGCTATTCCTTTCCTTCGACATAAAAGGTAACACACTCTAAATTTAAGTAACTCCTAAACTATATCTGCATTGCTTTCATAAAATTAATAGGAGTAACTTGAAATAAAACCAAAGGCTTAGGTATATAAATAAATTTGCTGTATAGAAGAAATTAACGAGTTTTACTTTGTTTACGTGTACAACATTACAGGAAAATTTGGAATTATAGCACCAGGTCCAGTACAATCAGCACATTTAGCTACGTAGGTAAAATTACCTACGTAGCTTTATTTACCTACCTCAGGTAGCCTGGCACTATGTAAATATGTAAATATGTAGATATGTGAATAAATTTTATTTTCAGCTTACCTCAACAAATTTGGGGGGAGCTTATGTGATACCCTCGGCGTCGGTGTCGGCTTCGGCGTCGGCGTCCCGGGTTAAGGTTAAGTTTTTTGGAGCAGTTTTCTTTTTAAGTACTTCTATGTCCTATATTGATAAGACATGCATGGAAGATGTTGCTAGTGTGTTTCATTGTACCAGTCAAAAATTCAGATGCTGCAATTTCAGCAAAGGAATGACCAGGTTAATGTTTTTGGTGCAGGTTAACATTTTTGGTGCAGTTTTTGGTGTAGGTCTCATTTCCGAGTAACTATAAGCCCTATGTTGACCAAACTTACATGGATGATACATCTTAGGATGCATACTACCAGCCTTGCTTTGGATGCTGAATCTGACCTACATTTTCCGGTTGAGTGAACAGGTTAAAGTTTTTGGTGATGGTTTCATTTTGAAGATACTTTGAGCCCTATAATGACCAAACTTGCATGGATGGTACATCTTAGGATGTATTCTACTAAACTTGCTTCGAATGCTGAATCTGACCTACATTTTCAGGTTGTGTGAACAGGTTAAAGTTTATGGTGCAGGTTTCATTTCCAAGTTACTATGAGACATATGATGACCAAACTTACATGGATTATACATCTTAGGATGCATACTACCAGCCTTGCTTCGGATGCTGAATCTGACCAACATTTTCCGGTTGAGTGAACAGGTTAAAGTTTTTGGTGATGGTTTCATTTCGAAGATACTTTGAGCCCTATAATGACCAAACTTGCATGGATGGTACATCTTAGGATGTATTCTACTAAACTTGCTTTGGATGCTGAATCTGACCTACATTTTCTGGTTGAGTGAACAGGTTAAAGTTTTTGGTGCAGGTTTCATTTCCAAGTTACTATGAGACATATGATGACCAAACTTACATGGATGATACATCTTAGGATGCATACCACCAGCCTTGCTTCGGATGCTGAATCTGACCTACATTTTTGGGTTGAGTGAACAGGTTAAAGTTTTTGGTGAAGGTTTCATTTCGAAGATACGTTGAGCCCTATAATGACCAAACTTGCATGGATGGTACATCTTATGATGTTATCTACTAGACTTGCTTCGGATGCTGAATCTGACCTACATTTTCCGGTTGAGTGAACAGGTTAAAGTTTTTGGTGCAGGTTTCATTTCCAAGTAACTATGAGACATATAATGACCAAACTTGCATGGATGGTACATCTTAGGATGCATACTACAAGACCTGCTTCGGATGCTGAATCTGATTCGGATGCTGAATCTGACCTACATTTTCCGGTTGAGTGAACAAGTTAAAATTTTGGGTGCAGGTTTCATTTCCAAGGTACAGTACTATGAACCCTATAACGACTAAATTGCATGGATGGTACAACTTAGGATGCATACTACCAGACTTGCTTCGGATGCTGAATCTGACCTACATTTTCTGGACAAGTAAA